GAGTGTAGGGGATGTGGAGGGGGAGGGCACTCACCTTGAACTCCTTGCTCTCCTTGACGCGGATCTGCGCGCGCGTCATCTCGCCGAGCTTGGGCCTGCCCAGCAGCGCGATCTTCTCCTCGCTGGACCGGTCCTCGGGCCGCTTCTGCTCCGCCTCCAGCGCCAGCCCTGCATCGTCTGCAACGCGCGCGCCGCGCCTTTAGTTGCTGCCTCGCCACGCCACACCCCGCCACGCCACACCCCGCCACGCCAACGACACTACGCGTGGACGTGCGATTACCAATCGTATAAGATTGATGAAGTTGTATTAAAATCTTCGACTCTATCTGAGTTTCCTGTAGCATTCTGCTCGAGCATCCTCGTATTTACTTGGCTGTCCGGTAGACGTCGCGTTTCAGGCAAAGATGCCAACGCTTGGGCTGTCATGCTGCGACCTTCCTCAGGGCAAACTGTTTTCCTTCGATCTGAGGAAGGTCTCAGCATGTCAGACCGAAACGTTGGTGTCTGGGTCTAGGACACGGCGTCTTCCAGTCAACCAAGTATAAAATGACCAATTACATCCGAAAGTCTACGCTTCCAACTGATCGATATTCCTAATAAACTAAAATGGTACTTTTGTCTTCGCAAAACAGGTTTGCTAATTCATTATCTACTCAAACCTTCACTGACATTGCAAGCAATACGCGTCAGTGCGCTAACAAATGTGAGTGTTCAGTAATTCTAAAAACTACCTTACGTAATTCTAGATGCTCGTAGGGTAACGCGTGTTTGCTGTATTAGCTAATCGAAACCAAGCCATTCCGGATATCATAGCATCTCTCTGTCTTTTTAAAGAAAAAGACGCGCGTAGACAATATTCTAAGATGGGATTAGTTGCAATAAAACCTGACTAACAATGTTCCGACTTGTAACACTTGACCGACCTTCATCGACCTGAATGTTCGTACCATCATGAAGTACCATAATGCTCAAACAAAGTGTGTGAAAACAACGGACGTGCATTGGCACGTTAACAAACTGTGTGTTCACCAGTCGTAGAGTGTACCTTGCGTGATCCCAGATAATCGTATGGTGTCGCATCTTTCCAGTAATTGGTAACCGAGACGCAGCATCGCCCGGGAAGCTCAATGTGTTGGCCCGCCAACCACACACGCGAACGTATGATCAGTCATTTTCTATGATTGAGAAGTTTAAATAAAATCTCTCCCGTTCTAATGGTGTACCGACGTCGTAATATACGACAGACATACCGCAGATTTGCTATACTTATTACGCCAACAGACGCGTATGATCAGTCTTTATGTAAATAATCTTCCAAGACTCACACGGAACTACGACTTTGTAGTGTGCCTGTCACACAGAATTTCGAATATATAGTGCCTTTGTTACTCACGTGCTTCAGGGCGTTAACATATGCGTGTTATTTTGCGAACTTAGCTAAAGCGTGTTTCCTGTTACTGGCATGACGCCGCGTCTTTGCTGTTATTAGTAATCGAGATGTTGCAACATTCCGGAAGTTGAGATCACTTTCACACAGAAGGGTCGGCCATGAATATCCTACAATTATTGGGTCTGCGGATCTCCAGTTGTTGAGTGGTGCTGCAATCCTACTTTGAAGTATCAGTGTCACGGCACCTGTCTATATTATATTGTACAAACTGCATTTACGGCGACCTCACTAATCTGAGTATCTGTTGTGTAACATGATTCTCTTCTTGCGTGTGATTTCGGCTTTCCGATATTATTCGAATTAATCTCGTCTACTAATAGCCACAAACGGCAATCAAAAAAATTCGTCGATACTAATTATTGTAGCCTCGAAATCATTTTATTGAACACAGTTCATATCTGCGTTGCCCTGCAACAGCAATGCTTGATCATCATCACAGATCTTCAACACTTGCATATGTATATACGCAATTACAACCTCATGACCTTTTCGTGGATGGGGCCCATATAGCATTACAAAGACGGGAATAGCAGAAGGAATTGATAGCCATTACGCGAATTCGTAAACAAGAAAAAACATAAACGTAAACAAAATGGAAAATCAACCAACATGGCGTTTACGTTTTGCTTGAGTTTTCAATATGTGGATACTCCATTATATTACATGAGTGAATCTATTCTAATCATTTATAATATTTCACAGCACACAACCACACTGTTGTAACACAACAACCAAATCACAGTCGTACTTCTAAGTTGATGCAGATACATTTTACCCACATACACTCACACGTTTGTCGTTATATCCGATAAAGTACACAAAGTTCTCATGTGCAGAATCAAAGTATAATAGTGCGTCAGTAAAAATCTGACTGAAAAATTGAAACCGACAGTAAGAAAATACAGTTTTCCAACTTCATTAAAAAGTTACGGGTCTACAGAGTAGAACAGTTCAAAGAATTTAAGGTAGTTAATTATGCTATTTGAAGCACGAAAGAATAGCCGAGTATTATCGATCTTTATACAAATCGCTTATAATGCAAAACAGAACCGGAACATTGTGACACGTTAATAGATAAATTTGGTATTGAAATCTGAACGAAGTACTGAGATGCAAATATTTAGATAATAATAATAGTAATAATAATAATAATATTATTAATAATAATATTAATAATAATATTTTTATATAATTTGCATGTTATTTATATTATCTTATTTACGTAATTAGCTACCACCAGGTTATACCGAATTGCAGATCATATAAATTCAACTTTATCTTATCATAAGTATCCACACATCTTGAATTGGTTTAAATATGCTTGCAAATATAATATTCGAAAAGATATAAGTAAGATCGGTAATACTAAGCAAAGAGCTGAGAAATAACATGCAACAAAGGAAAACTGGCGAACATCAGCGAGCATCAACATCAGCATATCGAATAAGACGCTTGTCGCGGCTCAAGGTGGCTCATCTGGCCGCTTGGAGTTGCGAAGTAATTTTTGCGTGCTGAAAAGCACTCCAGTCACTGCTGCATGCGGAGAATCTCGACTGTTCCCGGCCTCGCGTTGTGGGTTATTAGGACGTCGTGTGAACTTGTGAACAAAAAAAATTTTTTGGAGAGCTTCCTGATTGAGTGGTTTTATTGTGTTTGTTACGTGTTTTTATGATTTTATTAGCGCTGTGAAAGAACATTAAGATATTGAAGGTAGTTCACTGCTCTAGCTCATAGCT